TAATAAAAAACCTCAAATAAAGTATTTAAAGGTTTTCGGATCAACAGTTTATGTACATAATAAAATTTGTAAAACAAAATTTGATGACAAATCATGGAAAGGTATACTGGTGGGTTATGAACCAAACGGATATAAAGTTTGGGATACAAAATGCGAAAAATACGTTACTGTTCGGGATGTCATTGTGGATGAGACCAATTTTATTAATTCAAGGCCAACCTTGAAGTCTGAAGGGAATGGTAAACATTCCTGTGACAAAACTGATATTTGTGACGTACAGTCTAAATCAGTGTCTTTGAGGTATCATCACTCTGACAGTCCTAAATCAGATATATTAAAATCTGATGGGCATAATTGTCCTAGCAAAATTCGCATAATAAGCAATGACTTAGTGAAGTCACCAAAAATACCTGATAATAGTCTTATTAATAGTCAAAACACAGATAATAGTTCTCACATTAGAAGGAGTGAAAGGCTTAAAAATCGTGCCCCTATATCTTATAAGGAAAATGATGATGATTATAGTTTAATGTGTGTTCAATCGTTTGAAGTACCGAGTTGTTATGACGAAATTAAAACTCGCGATGATAAAATTAAATGGGAAGTCGCAATAAAAGATGAATTAAATTCTCTTAATATAAACAATACGTGGACTTTAGTTCCTAGGCCATGTAATAAAAATATTATCGATTGTAAATGGATATTTACAATAAAGAATGATGAGTTTGGAAAACCTTCACGATATAAAGCACGTCTTGTTGCCAGAGGTTTCAGTCAACAATATTTGACAGATTACAATGAGACTTTCGCGCCTGTCGCTAGAATAGCTAGTTTCAGATTGATAATTAGTTTTGCTAATCAATTTAATCTATTAGTTCATCATATGGACGTTAAGACCGCGTTTTTAAATGGTAATTTAAAAGAGGAAATATATATGGAAGTTCCTAAAGGTGTAAATTGTAACACAAATTATGTCTGTAAGCTAAATAAATCATTGTACGGACTGAAACAGGCGGCTAGGTGCTGGTTTGAGGTATTTGAACAATCACTTAAAAACGAAGGTTTTCAAAATTCATTAGTCGATCGGTGTATTTATATATTGGACAAAGGAAATATTAATAAAAATATTTATGTGGTACTTTATGTTGATGACGTGGTTGTGGCATGTTATGATATACAAACTATGAATAATTTTAAAAGTTATTTAATGAGTAAATTTAAAATGTCAGATCTGAATGAAATTAAATTATTTTTAGGCTTTAGAATTATGAGAAATAACGATAAAATAACGTTAGACCAAAGTGCATATATTAACACAGTATTAAATAAGTTTAATATGCAGGATTGTAAGCCGGTCAGTACGCCTTTGGAAAATAAACTAAATTATGAGGCTTTAAACTGTGATGACAAATATAATGCACCTTGTAGGAACGTTATAGGATGTTTAATGTATATCATGTTGTGTACCCGTCCTGACTTAAGTACAAGTGTAAATATATTGAGTAGGTATACAAATAAAAATAATAAAGAATTATGGAGTTGTCTTAAAAGAGTACTCCGGTATTTAAAGGGTACCATAGGCTTAAAATTAACTTATAAAAGATGCAAATATGATACTATTTTATGTGGTTATGTTGACTCTGATTGGGGAGGTAGTGATACTAATAACAGGAAAAGTACTACTGGTTATTTGTTTAAATTATTTAAGCAGTGTACAATATCCTGGAGTACAAAAAGACAAATGTCAGTGGCAGCCTCTTCCACTGAGGCTGAGTATATGGCTCTGTATGAAGCTGTAAGGGAAGCCTTGTGGCTTAAGTCTCTAGCAATAAGCATAAATATAAATATCACAGATCCTATAGTAATTTATGAGGATAACAATGGTTGTATTAGCATTGCAAATAATCCAACCAATCACAAAAGGTCAAAACATATTGACATTAAATATCATTTTTCCAGAGAACAGGTTGAGAAAAATGTAATTAAATTAATTTATATTCCCACAGGTCAACAGTTGGCTGATGCATTAACTAAGCCGTTGCCAGCGATCAGTTTTCAAGAACTGAGAACCAAAATAGGCTTAGAATAAAGTGTCATAATTATGTATCTAATATTTGAATGATTATATTGTGTTTTAATTAGAGTTAAGTTTAATGGTCTGATTAGGTTTTACTGGGTTTCCCTAATCCAAAGCAACAAATGTTGGGCCATATTATTGTATTACTCCCAGCAATTACTTGGAAGTCAAATGTATTCTGCAATTATATAATTTAACGATTGTATTCTAGTGATTGTAATTAACGGTTAATTTTTGAGGGGGCGTGTTGATTTAATTGTATTAAAATGCAAAAATTAACATCTCAACTGATTGAGTGACTTAATAGAATTATATCTACCTACATATATATTTATATTGAGGTTGACCTAGTTTTCTTTATAACCACTGTAAGACGGTCCCTCACTCTTGTTTTGTACACTGTAAAGAGCGGACGCATATTGGCTTCCTAGTAGTAAAATAAAAGATAAATATAGAAGTGATTATAGTGTTCAGTTGTCTCAATTAAAAAGCCCTATTTCCTATATATTGATTTAATATGTGTATAGTCAGCCTTGGTTTTCCTTTAATAAATAAAAAAAAAAGAATAATAATAATAATTGTAATATAAACATTATTATTATCATCAGCTTCATTTTCTCAGCTTTTGCTGGTTTTTTACGCTTAGTATGTGTGGTATACGCCCACACATAAGGGGTGAAACTAAATAAGAGCATTGTGCGTGTGCGTATGTGTGTGTGTGTGTAAATGAAACATCATGTGTAAATGTTTTGTTATTTTCATCTATTTTATGTATATGTATTATATGTAATATGAACATTATTTTAACGTAATATGTACTTTGTGTCATAATAAATTATTTATTATTTTTATAACAAATTATTAAATTTATAATATTAACATTGTATATCAATCACGTTAGAGTACCTTTTTGCTATAAGGAAGTAACGTTTTCCAATAAACAATAATAATAAGTACAACATCATACTTTTACGACGATCTAAGTCAACCAGTTAAGCAAACCGTTATTTCAATGGTCCCAGGTTCGATTCCTCGCACAGTACAAACATTTGTTTTCATGAGTAAGAAGTTTATATTGGTTTGGGTGTTATCTATAATAATAATAATAATCTCAGGATAATTCACACAGCGCCATCTAGACCCAAGTTAAGCTAGCTAAAGCTTGTGTTATGGGTACTAGATAACTGATACAAATACATAGATAATTTCTTTTTACGTTAATACATACATATTATACATAGAAAATACCCAGACCGATACAAACAATCATACTTATGGATACAAATGTTAGTGCCGTGCGAGGAATCGAACCCGCGACCATCGGACGTAAAGCGGTGTGTTAGACCGCTAGACCACCGAGGTCGTCAAATCGTATATCAATTGGACTAATTAGCCAATACTCGTAGGTGACCGATAGTATAGGTATCAGAAGCCTATCATTGAAGTAAACTATTAAACGTATTATTAAAACTATTAAAACTATTAAAATTGTGGAAGATGGATTAATATCTAAACAGCCTAACCATATACAAAAACATGACGTCGAAGGTTCAATTAGTCTTTAGATAGTATAAAATGATTTCGTTCCTGTTGTCTTGCTTAGATTTTTTTAAACTACGTAACGCATTTTAATGCACTTATTAGCAATATATAGAGTGATTCAAGAGGAAAGTTTATATGTATATAATATATGTACCCGTGCGAAGACAGGGTGGGTAGCTAGTTTAATATAAATATTAATCTTAGATGCAACAACAACAAAAATAAATTTCAGGTAGGACCACAAACACAATAATATTTATATATACTAGTTGACCTTGCAAACCTAGTTTTGCCATATAAATTAAAATAGCTACTAAAATATAGGGGTTGAACGATGAAAATTTGGGGTTGTATGTATTTCTTAATGCCACATTAAAAAATACATACAACCCTAAATTATACCTCATGACTTAAGGTTATGAAAAATAGATAGTAGCCGATTCTCAGATCTACTGAGTATAAAAATATAATTTCAAAAAAATCGTTTTGAACATCGTGACACGAGAATTTTATGTATATCTTTCTATATATACATATATATCTATATATACATATATATCTATATATATCTATACATACATAGTGTTTATTTGTTAAGTGGTTACGAAAATATGAGTGTTTGAATGACAATGGGAACAGAATCCGATTCTTTTAATCAAGATTCACATAAACAATGCCAAAACAAGAAAAACGTGCATGCAGTTAAACAGTTAATTCCAAATACGTTTTAATAGACATGTTATAAGTACACGAGAATTATGTCACTCCAGTCATTGCGTCTAATTTTCGTGACAACTTTTTGTATAGGTCTTGATGGAATTGTTGTACCTCATACGTGAATTATTACAATGGAATAGAATAGAAAATCATTTATTCAAATAATAACTTACATTGAAGCACTTCTGAATAATCATCACATTTTCTTCAATCTACCGCTCATTCGGAAAGCTGTCTCACTACAAGAAGAATGAGCAAGAAACTTGCATGTTGCTATTTTATATAATTTTGTTGTAATTTTGTTATATCTTTAAGTAGAAGTGTGTTCATACAAACTACCAACATCATTCATGTAAGACATTTTAGGTGCTTATGAACGTCAAAATTATTGTTCATCCCAAAGGATTGACTTGGTTGGTCGAGAACATCTATTTAAAAGAGATAAAATAATTAATAAATTCTAGCTTCTTTCTTTTGTACAATGTTCTTTTTAGTTAATAAAAAAAATCTCTTCCATTTGTATTAATAACACTGGGCTAGCTTTCGAGTTTCTTCTCGAGTTACTTTCCATAATACTTTCTTCCCCTATCGTTTAGGCTATTTGGTAAAAAAATATTTTTTTTTGTATTTATTTTCATGCAGTTACTAAACAATTTATACTTACATATATACTCTTTATCACAAGAAAGCACTATTTATTTGTCTATTGTAGAACATGCAACACAATTCTAAAGTCCCGCCAAAATATACCCGCGAAATTCAAATTTCGAACACAAAACTATTTAAAACAAATTCCAGCTTTGTCATGCACAAATTTATGCTGGAATACTTTGTAATGATACTATTTTTTTTAAATATGCGTTCTGTATACAGCCTCTTCTTTTTTTTAATTTTAATTAGGCTGTAGCAGAAACGCTAGCGCGTGCGCCGTAGTATGTTGCGCGGCGGCTACTAAACCAAGCTAGATCCCTTACCAGCCTTGAAAGTTACTGAAAGCCCCGCCCGCCTATCGCATTCTTTGCTATTAATTGGATCAACATCGTTTCTTGGTTACCAGCCGTAGTGGTTGGGTCTACGTTTTTGTTTTATTGTGATTGTAAAAACCCTTAGTACAATGTTAATAAGTTATCGGGTATTTTTCCTACGTCAGCGCGCACATTTATGTGCACTCTATGTTTTTTTTCAATAAACACAGTGCTATATAAATAGAAGACTTAAAGAAAGGTGGTGAAGTTATTCCATCAACAGTGTAAGGATGCTTATAAGAGGAAGATTTACTATTGTCATGACAATAGTAAAAGCAAATGCTTCGAGTTCCTTCTTTTTGTTTATTTAAAACGTTTTATAGTGTATAAAATACATAATGCCATATTATGGCGAGAGTGGTATCACTAAGTTTATAATAATTTAATTAATCTGTGCAATGAAACAGATCTCTTTAATGCTGTTAAAGTGGAGAAAAGTACAATAATTATTCTTTTAAGAAACCTTCATTCGAATTTCAAAATATGTTCCACACTATTGCGTCTAAAGCAAAAATACTAAACTGATTTCTAGTCACGTATCTACTACGAATATTAACCGACAAAGAAACGTTTTTAGTGCTGAGTGACCGTACATTAGGCAGCAGGCGGCAGGTTTTTGTACATCTTTGGTATTCTATTCTGCTTCCCTTCCAAGTATTGTATATAAATTACCCTTATAGGACTTTTTTGTTTGGCTGTATGAAGTTTTTTTTAATTCTATGATATTTTAGGCGATCTATTTATGTTTAGATGTAAAAAGAAATTTCAGAAGATGCATATCGTAAAACTTAAAGACTAAATTTGTAATATATGTTACATTACATTACGAAACATTACAAACAATTGTTTTAGTCTTCTATATAATATATATTGAATATTTCAGAATATAAAACGTAATTATTAATATTATTTTACGTAAAGAATCTATGTGTTGACTCATACCATAAAGATACTTCATATTCTGACAGTAAACTATAGATAAATGAAAAAATAGATGACCTATCTCACATACTTCATGGTTTATATCATATACACTATATACTAAGTATAGGTAACTTAATTATTTTGCATACGGAACCATAATAAGATTCTCTGACATGCTCTTGACCGATTTTTGTTATTATTAATGTATGTACAGACAGAGGGAAGGTGCGGATATGTGTTCTTTAACTAGGTCACGATTAAAATCAATAATTATTACAATCGGGACAATAATATAACCATGTAAGAAGTAGTAAGAGTCGTAGTAAGTAGAAGCACTTAGTAGCAGACTTTGTACAATGTCGTTTTTTTTCTTTGTACCTCAATCTCGCAGGACCGATCGTCGTGGAGATCTTTGGGGGAAGCCTATGTCCAGCAGTGGACGTCTTGCGGGCTGCGATGATGATGATGATGATGACCTCAATCTCATTTATATCAGCTGCTATGTAACTTGCTTTGTAAGCTGTGTTTCAGTTGGAGGGTAGGTTTACGCATTGATATTATAGGATATGAGGCATGACCTCTTAGTCCTCAAGAAAGGCAACGTATGAGTCATCACAGCATCACATGATAGCGTTATATAGATCGCACTTTTCGTGTATATAGGCTACGGGTACTACTTACTCTCAGATGGGCAGCATATTTGCTCTAGACGAAAATAATTTACTTTTGTATACGTATGATATGATTTGTTTTTTTATTATTATATACTTTATCCTTTTTTTTAGGAAGACAAAGAAACAAGCCATACAGCCTAGTCTGCCATAATTACGAATGTCTCGAATTAATTTATTGAAACTAATTTATCGATTAAAAATCATAGAACAAAAACGGAACTTAAAGCTAGAAGTAATCTTCATATTTTCAACCTTTGGAATGATCGATAAATCACGAATGCGATACTTAATGAACTTCAGGAAACAACGAAGGATGATAACTAAAAACAAACGATTTAGGGCTTTATTTCGTTCAAAATATAGTTTACAAAACAGTGATTTTAAATAATTTACCAATTATTAGGTATAATAGTTATTTCACAATAGATGGACCCTATAGTAATTAATTCTACACAAATTTCATTATTAAAGTTGATTTCCTTTAAACAAATTAATAAAATACATATAGTTGAACCAGTCCCGCATACCCATAGATAACACGAGGAATGTGACGTAGCAATATTACTTAATCTCTTTTTAATTAATTGGGAATACCTTATCTAATGTATTATTCACAAAAATGTATTTAATGGGTTTATTACTGTCAATTGAGAATTTTATGAATATAGAATTAGGTATTACTTAGTAATATAATAATAATAAAATCCCTAAACAATTAAACAGCGCCATCTAGTCCTTCGGTAAGCAGAGCTTGTGTTGTGGGTACTAGACAACTGATACTCACTGATGGTTAATGTGCTCCCTCTAATATGGTTGAGTACAATGATGGCGGGGGAAATAGCAATAGAATAGCAATGTACCATGTCAGGTTGACCTCCACGCGGTTTTCCCTGGAAACTATCGTAATTAATTCTTTGTAAATTTGTCACGATGGGCTAACTGACCTGACCTCATGCTCATCTTATCATCCTCCACTGGGGCCCCGCCAGAGTATACATGAGTGCACCATTCCATTATCAACCACAAAAAAAAAAGTACAATGATTGCTATTTTTATTATTATTATTATTATATTGGCTCATCCGTCATACTCGTGCACGAATGCTGTTTGTGGGGACTGATTTGTTCGGGTTATGGACACTGATTAGACTAATTGCTTTTGACAAAATTGCAATAGCATGTGCTGATAGTTACTCTATTCTCACAAATTTAAATTTAATAATTTATTTGTTTTATTGTAAACATGTATAACAATGTAAAAGAATACGAACTGAACTTATTGATATTAGACTTCAAAATTAAAACTTTAGAGTGTATTTTCCAAAGTCTGTAAATTTTGACTTAATACAATATGGTATTAGGTATGCGATATATTCAGTTTTGGTTCAATTATTATAATTGCGGTGAAAACTCTAATAAACCATAGCATTAATTGATGTGTGAACAACGCTATCTGAACCGTCGTGGAGTTACATATACGTAGAATCTGCAGATTTTACCAAACTGAAGAGGAAACGCCACTACACATCCTATGTGGTTGTAGCCCACTCATGCATGTAATATCTCCTTTGGAAAGTTTGCACTCTATCCTGAGGAGATAAAAACCAAAGGTACTAAGATATCCTTCAATTTTTGTCCCAGACTCGAACTCTGAAAAAGGGCCAGTACAAAAGATCCATGTATGTCGCAGTGCTATAGGTTCAATTTCTATTTCTAACAGGTCCACCTGACAATAAACACCCAATAAAAAAAAATATATACGATTTTACTTTTACTAGAGCAACTTCCACAACAAAGGACATGGCAATCAAGAGTTGTATACAAGGGAAAACCACAAATGTTGTTATTAATTCTAAGAATTTGTCGTCATTTCCGAGATATTCGAGGACAAGAATTTATGGAGTTATGTTAACTTATTGTATTTAATTTGTATCAGCTGTGGAAGCGATTACGTTGTTTTATATTTTTATTTATTTATTTACGTTACCGTGAAGTAATCATTTAAAAAAGTACGTCTAACAATTAATAAAAATCACGGAATCGTACCACATGATATATTGGGAAATCATCAAAACTAAAACTTGGTAAGATCCTGTGATTTTGTCTAATTATATGTATAAATAATGACCGCGTCAATTTTATAATAGTATATACGTTATAAAAATTTGTATATTACTGTAATTGACTAAACAGAACATTTGATTAGATTTTTCTACAAGAAATACGAGCAAGACAAAGAACAATCTTTAACTATAGTAGGGGATCTGTTATAAGGAATAACTAATCAAAAATTTGTCCATTAAATAAAAAAGAAATGTCAGGGATAGACAACCATTGTCACTTAGAAGTATGAAAAATAGACCGTAGCCAATTCTCAATCCTGCTGAATATGCATATAAAATTTCATAAAAGTCGGTCAAGCTGTTTCGGAGCAGTATAGTAACTAACATTGAGACACGAGAATCTTTACATAGTATAAAACAAAGTCGCTGTCGCTGTCTGACCGCCCCTATGTATGCCTTAATCTTTAAAACTACGCAACGGATTTTGAAGGGTTTTTTTAAATAGGTAGAGTGATTCTAGAGGAAGGTTTATATGTATAATACATGTACACCCGAGCGAAGCCTAGACATGTAGTTAGTTTTATATATAAGAAAGATATGGGTCTCTTCTACAGGCCATATTTATTGATCACTCTCCATAACGACCAGTTCAACTAGCAACGTTTGAGTAGAACTGGCAAGAAATACAAGAAGAATACAAGAAATACAAGAATGAAAAAAGAAAAAAATAACATCGGCCCTATTTACACCATGTTATCCATTTAATAAAAACGATATATCAACTTCTAATAAGGTGTTATGTGATAATGAATATTACTGAGCTTTACCGTTTATGGTGTAATTATGGCAGTTAATATGACTTTAATGATCTATAGTCATTACATACTTGTAATAGAGATGTTAAGGGGTTCTTATATTATATTACTAGTTGTTTATAGTGGCTTTGTTTGTTCCGATATAATCGTATATTTAGTCGTACTTATAGGTGTTATTAGTAATATTCTTAGTGCCCCTTATATTATAAACGACTAGATCGGTACGTCTGCTTTTTTTAAATAACAGATAACCCACATCCGTTTTTGTGATACAATCTATTTTGGTATCAAATTTCATAAAACTCCGATCAGCCGTTTAGTTGTGAAAAGGTAACAAATTGTCAGGCAGACACTCTGTCATATGTGTAATACCACAGATAACATAATATTACTTGTAATACTTACTAATTGTTATACGTAACATCGTCTGCAGTTA